ACTAACCCTCTACTTCTAATGCCAACTCGCTGGGCAGCTATGGCTGCATCACTTCCAGCATACAGGCATCTTCCTTCCTCCAGCGCATCTTCTCCTCCAGCGCTGCTCCTCCTGACTCAGCGCACAAGTGCACCAGCACTTCCACGCATTGGCAGCCAGTGGAGATCTGGGTAAGAATGAGGCTGGCTGCCTCCTTTATACTCCTCGCTGGGTCTGTATTGGCTCAATCCAGCCTTCCTTTTGTCCCAGACCCTGCATTGCATGTGTCCCAGTAGAGTCCCAAACGAAGTTCAACTGCTGCTGAGGCCTCCAGGCTTGAATTTGGACTTGAAAGTCTGGATCTRGACTGACCCCTGGACTTAGACCAGAACTGGGACTGTGCCTATTGACTTTWCTTTCGGACAGGCACAACTCTCAACGAACAGACACATTTACTGCTTGARCAGACACTTTACTTGGCACGAACAGACACACTGCCTGCACGTACAGACACACCCTTACCCAAACAGACATGACATACACATCTCCTGGTGAACAGGTAAGTCTTTTGACAATGCCCTTTGCCTTAGTTTTAAATATGCCTGTTGATAGAGAACTTGACCTTTGACCTGCTTTCACGTTTCTGAGCTCTGACGAGATACCTTTTCACAATGCCTTACTTTTTCAAGGCCCGTGCTGCTTTATTTTAACAAGGCCTGAGGCCTATATCGGGTAAAGGCCCTTTTAGTTGGTAGTTCATATGCTCCATTTACTATTTGTACTCAATGGGATGTTGGACCCGATTTCCAGCAGGTGCCACTCCCCATCAATAGATTGGAGTCTCTAGTAGGGCAAGTAGGAGTGTTTGCTCATATCATCACTCCTAATTGTTCCTACTAGGTGATAAAAAATAAAAAATAAAAAATAAAAAATAAAAAAATAAAAAAAAAGGACTCCCACTCCCGGACAGACCTCCACCCTGAGAGATGGGAGGAGGTGTTTCACCATACCCTTTCTGGGAACCGCTGGATCAAAGACCAGCATGGGAGGGTCTTCCCCAACTCTGGCTGTCCCTGGGACTCTTGGGTCTGCAATGGTGCCACGAAGGTGGGGCACCTGTGAGATCAGGAACGAAAAGACTGGATTTCGGGACAGGAATTGAGAAGGGCACTGCCACACTGTCACAAGATGGGTGACAGACTGAAGGACCCCCTCCCCCTTGCATAGGTACGGATCCTTTGGCATGGTCCGTCTCTGCAGGAGAGTGATTGGGTGGTGGTGAAAGGGGAGGGGGCACGAGTAGGAAACAGACAAAATGATGTACTGGTAAACGTTTTGTATAAAAACCAACTGAACTACCTAGTCAGGGCTATACCGGATGAAACCTTCTGGATGAAAAAAGCGCGGCTCTGCAGGGTGAGGGTGTTGAAGGAAGGGGACTCCTGGGTGGCTTTCAGGCCAAATTCCGTCACCTGCACACGTTAGGGGTTAAGGCAACCTACCGGATGCTAAGGACTTGGCTCAATCTGCGGGATAGGGTAATGGACCGATGGGCAAAGCACTTTAACGAACCACAAGAGGTGCTGCAAACGGTGAAATGGTTTAAAGAAGTTAAGAGCAAGCCGGCTAAACTAGCCTCATTGCAGTGGCAGATTGCGCATCGCTGCCTACCAACGAATGCATGGCTCATCGACCACTCGCATCTTGAGCAGAAGGGGCGGGCACTGCGTGGTGCCCATTCTGCAAAGAGGGTTTTCCCACTCGAAAATGTAATGAGACGATTGAACATCTCCTCCTTCAATGCCCCTTGTCGATTCTGACATGGCGCTGGTGGGTACGGGTATGGGATGAACTGGGAACGGACTGCGAATGGCCTTGGGAATGAAAGGCCTCGCTGTGCGGGAATTGGACAGCGCAAACTTCAACCTTCACAGCTAACATGTTTATCATTGGGAGGAAGGCAGTGCTGTGCGCCATTAGCTACGGCAGGTGCACCCTGGTCATGGAAAGTGCGCATGTAGAAGGGGGTGAAACTGTGGGGACTATCATATATATCGTTGAAACTGCAATAAGAGATCGATGGAAAAAGACAATGCAGACGGTCAAAGTGCTCTCTAAAAAGGCTGACATCGTCCAACAAATAAATGAATTTTGCATGGACTGGCTGGGTGGGGAATGAGGGGGAAGGATAGCGAGGGTCCAATGGGAGGGCTGGCAACTGGATGACCAGCTGCGCTACAGGCTTCACAGAAGGACTATCGACTATATGCTTCAACGATTGGACTGCCACCCCTTCTGATATTCCCCTCTCCCCTCCCTCTGATTTCCCAAACCTATTCCCTCTCCTGAGTCATACCCTGCTAGAGCTTGGTTGGTACGGCAGGGAGCAGGAGGTGTCCATCCAACAGGATCAGGGTGGGACGGGGCACGATGGGTGAAGGGAAGGAAGCTGGCTTCAGCTTTCGCCCCCCGAAGTGCTGAACTGGCTTTTGTCCCTCCATCGTCGCCCTGCCCAGGCCCCCCCTAACCCCGCTGATAAGGGACCACTGGCCTATAACATGTGACGATGGAGGTGGTGAAAGCTCGATGAGTCTACAGAAGATTCTACACATCTCTGGCCCGGTTGTATATACACTATGTTAAAAAAGATTCTATACATCTCTGGCCCGGTTGTATGTACACTATGTTTGGATACATTTGTCGAGGGACACTGGACCCGATTTCCAGCAGGTGCTGCTCCCCACCAATAGATTGGAGCCGCCCACGGCCTACCACAGGGGGACTGCTCTTATCAGGCCCTGGGCTATGGCTTGGGGACACTTTCTTTGTGAAAAAAAAAGGCTGAACCCCCCACAATCTGCGGAATCCCAGTATTGATTGTTTGGGTCATGGACCCTTTGGCGCTTGCTGAAGGCAGACTGTCCACAAGCGGAACACAGCAGCAGGCAACAACTCAGTGAAGCACCAGGCAACACTGTGTGAGCAACCCAACTGCACAACGCCAAAAACGACTGCATGGAACGACAGGGAAAACGGAACACAACAGCGGGCCGAAGCAACCCAACCACACAACACCAAAGACGACTGTAAGGAACGGCATGGCAAGTGGACGAGCAGCACAGCAACCGCGCAGCAAAGCGCAAGGCAACACCAACAAGGCAGCCAAACTACACAACAGACAAGCGAAGGACGCAGAAGGCACAGTACGCGAGTGGGCAGAAAGGCAGCAATGCAGCTAGCACAAGGCAACACCAACACCGCATCCACACCACACAGTGAATACAACAGCTTGCAAAGAATGACATGCGATGCAAGTGGGATGAGCAGCAAGGCAGCGGCAGGGCGCAGACAAGGCAGGCTACACAATGTACACATCCAACACAGAGCAAAGCGGCACATCACCTGCTCACATCACAGGTTAACCCTGCAGACTGTTGGTTCCCACCACCCACTGACCCAGGAGTCGCTCCGACGAACATCCATCATCACCAGTAGGGCAGACGGATATCCCAAACTGAGCCGCTCCCCTAAGAGTGCTGCAGGCACTCCAAACGAGGAAAGACCGACAGATTTGGCACTGCTTAGATGCGCTCAGCTGGGCACACAAAAAGCAAGAAAATATAGAGAAAAAGCATACAACAAGAGAGAGACAAACATACATAAAACTGTGTGTGTGTGTGTGTGTGTGTGTGTGTGTGTGTGTGTGTGTGTGTGTGTGAAAGAGGTTGGAGAGAGATTATCGTGCTCGTTTGAGCGGCTCATTCCCACAGTCCCTGGACAAAGGGCTGGTAGAAAAATTTGTTTCTTAAGGCTCGTAGGCCTACAGATACCAAAGCACAAAACCCAGCGAAAAGGACAATGCTTGCACCAACATGACCAGCGAGGGCTACTTGAGCTGCAATTGCTGCCACTACTGACATGACCAGACTAATTGACAGAGTCTGAAGCACCACAATTGCGACCTCGATGTTCTCTAAGGCCCCTCGACAAGATGTACAATGATCGACATGAGATTTCTTCCTCTCCATCAACAGCTCTCTGTCTGTGTCTTTTCTGATCGGCAACGACTGGTCCGTACCCTTTGGCCACATAGGCGATCCTCCAGCTTGTTCATATAGCCATTTCCAAAAGCTTACCACAAGTGCATCAGCAGCCGTGGGCATGTGGTAGTCAGATTTCCAATTGCTTCTGGCTTCCAACCTCCTGTAGCCCCTCATCCTGTCCTGCCAATATAATATCATCAAGTCGCTGTCAAGCACTCGCAGCTGTGAGAAGACATGAACCAACCAAATAGGCATCTTTCGGGCAAACTTAGGCACAACCCCAACCATCACCGCCCAGAAAAGACGGCTCCGCCCGGGGTCCACTGGTGTGCAATACCATGCCAGGATGACTGGATAAGGTCGCTCCCTGTCTGAGTCTGCTTGGCTTACCAATGGGTCCTTAGTTAACACAAGAATTGGGGGAATAAACGCCACTCTCACCCCGCTTTCATCCATTGCTTCAACAGAAGAGGGAGAAACTTTGTTAAGCCGGAGATTCCAACGTGTGGTTGAGTCGCGTCTGCCACCACCCCACATATTATGGTGTGCAAAATTTATATGGGCCGGGTCCACCTGTCATCAACAATACAAGACCAGTAACAACATTAATTTCGCTAGACAAGCATATATGCAAACACACAGGACACCGAAAACGTTTCACGCAGGCAAAAAGAACTTCATCAGGCTAACAGTCACTTTGCTTCCATTCATCCATTATGATATCTCCCATCACTCATCAACACCATTCAGCCTACTGCTTTATCACTCCAAACCAGCTGTCACCATGTCCCTTTTTACTTTGTTACCTAGCGCACACACTCAGCCCCCAGCTATTCTTTTGGAGGGGGTCAGTGCGGTTGCTTATCACCACCGGCAAGCACGAAAAACAGAAGCAAAGAGAGGAGGGGAGGGAGATAAGATGGCACCATTTCACAGTACAGACAGATTGGTAGCCATGTTGGCCTGCATAGGCTGGCTGCTCAGACAGATCGGCTCTCCGTCATCTTGTTGACGCGTCCGTCCATGCATCGACTGATTGCTTGGGAGGCGCATCTTTTGCTCAATCTGTCCGCAGATATGTGCAGTTTTCAATCAGCTCACCCACCAATCAACATCTGCGTTCCCCCTGTTGCATCTACCAATCGGCCGGTCAATATCCACCTGTTGGCCTGTACACTAACCAGGACATCCACCAGGCATGCCGGCAGCCAACCCTAGCAGGCCCATTTATTATTAGCAATTGATCAGAGGATGTGATTGCCATTGAAACTTGTCATACGCTGTGGGACTGCCAGTGTGCTGGCTGGCTGACCCATTCACGACTAATCCGCATTGCACGGTTCCAGATCCAGATCCAGCACTATACGGACTGCGCAATGCGGACTAATCATCATGAATGGGACTAATCAAGAATTCATGATTAGTCTGCATTGCCGGTGCTCTGCCAGCTTAAGCGAAAAAGCAGGTAGAAGAAGAAGAGTCCGAAGTTGAGAGTTGACTGTTGACAGTCACGCGCTCTTTATCCAAGCCTCATCACCAGTTCTTTGGGCCCCACCTTTCAGAACCCACCATCCCAGGTTTGCTCATTTCTGAACCGTGCTGCTCCTCGTGAATAGAATGGAGCCACATGTGCATGAGTTTTCATCAGCATCCCTCTGCTAGTTGCTCAAAGTTGGAAGAAAGACAAGGACGACGACGACGACGACGACGACAAAGAAGAAGAAGAAGAAGAAGAAGAAGAAGAAGAAGGAGGAGGAGGAGGATGAGGAGGAGGAGGACAAGCAGCATTTCTTCTTGGATCCTCAAGGAGGAAGGGCCTTGCAGCCCACGCTGCAAAAAGTGACGGTTTCACAGTGATTAAGGTCAGTTTTAAGACCAGAAGTCATGCTAGAGGGGCATTTTTCTGAACCTTGGCAGGACATTTCAGGGCCTTTCTTTCTGCTTGTGAACAACCAGGTGGCTGTGTCATTACCATTTCCAGCTTGCTCAGCTCGGCATTTCCGAGTTGCAGTGGCCACTCTCTGGCCTTTTTTCCTTCCCATGCCTTTTCCTTTCTTTTCCATGGAGCTACCACGTTTGAGAAGCGGCCACCATGTAAATGCTCCTAAGTTGGGTGAAAATGTATTGGCCTTCTCTCCAATTCTTTTCTTTTTTTTTTTTCTTTTTTTTTTGGTGCTCCCCTCCAATTCTAAGTTTGGGAAAGACAAAGCTGGGGCTGCTCCAGGGACAGCCATTTGAAGAGGCATTACGCACTACACCGTAACCCGATAATGCTGCGAGCCTGGACCGGAATGCAGACCAGATTGCTTGGCCATAGCTTGGCTCTCAATGCAATAAGATAATTAGGACGCACCCATATGCGCCATGATCTCCTGGATGGCAGCCACCATATCCAAGATGAGACTGTGATGACCCCTCTCCCCCACCCCTTATGTACGTTTGACAGACAGCATACGTGGGTGTGAACCAATAGAGTGCTTCATCCCTACCCCTTAAGGAGCATTTGACAAGAGGGGAGGGTTGGCAGGCCACTGCGCGCTGATTCCCGTGTGAAGTTTGGTTGAAGTCTCTTTTTTTTTTCTCTCTTTTTCCTTTTTTTTAACACCTGCCGGTGGTGCTACAGCGGGTGGTAGGAGCATCCCCTAGTAGCACCCTCATCAGATGGCTCCAGTTTATTGGTCGGGAGCAGCACGTGCTGGAAACCGCATCCAGCGTCCCATGCCAAACAGTCCCACACTGTACATGCAGGACAGATTTTTAACGAACTGTTCACTGCATGCCACTAAACAAGGGTGGCAACGCTGCTTGGCACCAGCAAGCACGGCACGCCATGGGCGTTGATTGGGGGCAATATTTTGCAATGTGGATCATCCGATCGCAAGACACGGTTGAAGAACTTCACTCTGCTATGTTGTAGCTCAGATTGGGGCCAATATTTTGCAATGTGGATCATCCGATCGCAACAGATGTGTCATCTGTTCATCTGGACACAATGCAAGATACGGGAACTTTGGTCGAAATGGGTTTTGTTGTCGCTTGTTAGGGGGGGGGGAGAGGAGGGGGGGGGGAGATTGTCTGGGACACACGGTCCATGGTGTGTATTTATTACTCCTTTGATTGCCTTTCAGGCACACACAGATGCATGCGGAAGCAGATGCGCTAAAACACACACACACACACACACACACACACACACACACACACACACACACACACACAC